TAACTATTAGTATAAAATTGATATATATATTATGATCTTTATTAAAATACTAATGTAAGAAAATTTTATTGGAAAAGGTATTTCTTAATGAGAGGGATAGGACTTCTAAAAAATTAGTGCATAAATTTATGGATAAATATTAGTTAGAGTGAGAAGATTCAGCATTAATTTTCTTATTTTTTTCTTTTGTTGGTCAGAACTTAGACATTTTGTCCACATAAACAAGATGATAATGGAAGTCATACCATTGTCCCATAATTCTTTAAAGTCTTTCCAAAGCATCTGCTAAAGATACCATAATGATCCTATCATCAAAAATTATTTTCAATGATCTAGTAATTGGGTTGAAAGAAAAAACTGACAACCACCTGACATACAGACGTATTTGATATCTCCACATAACCTATGCTGATACTTTTATTTCAAATTACAATACTGTTTGGAAACTTGAGATTTTGCACCCCAGGCCTTGAATATGTAAACTGGGAGAAGAACGACTGTGAAAAGGGAGGAAGGAAAAGAGAAACTGTTTAAGAAGCTCTATTCTCAGCCAGATCAATATTAAGCAAAAGGACCTAAGGAAGTTTAGGATCTGTAAACTGATTCCCTTAAAACTACCTATGTGCCTATGTTCCCTTTGTGTGACAGTCTGTGTGTGCCCAGGGATATGGGTAACTCAGGTTGAAGACTGCTCAGTCAGATAACTACACAGTAAAGGCTAACATTTATTAAGCCCTTACTATGTGCCAACTGTGCTAAGTTATTTACATGTATGTTATATCATTTGATCTTTTCAATAGTTCCTTTGTGGATGAGAAAACAACTTAAGAGAGTAAAGCTCCTTGCCCAAAGTTTCACAGCTATTAAGAGGCAGCATATGGATTAGAATACAGATTGTCAAGCTTAACAGCCAATTTACCCTGGTGAAGTCAGCTTACCACAGGCCTAGTTTAGGGGCCTGTAGGACATGGGTTACTACTGTTGGGCTCAGTGCCATAACCATATCTCTTTAATTTTTTTAAGTGATTAAAAGATGTATAGTACGTGTGGTTGATAAATATGCAAATGGCATAAAACTGGAAGAAACAATTAAATCAGCATCCTTACATCCTTTTTTTTAAGACAGAGTCTCGCTCTGTTGCCTGGGCTAGAGTGCCTGTGGCATCAGCCTAGCTCACAGCAACCTCAAACTCCTGGGCTTAAGAGATCCTCCTTACTCAGCCTCCCAAGTAGCTGGGACTACAGGCGCACACCACCATGCCCAGCTGATTTCTTTCTATTTTTAGTAGAGACGGGGTCTCGCTCTTGCTCAGGATGGTCTCAAACTCCTGATCTTAAGTGACCCTCGGCCTCCAACTCCCAGAGTGCTAGGATTACAGGCGTGAGCCACCGCGCCCGGCCTAGGGCTAATTCTTATACGATGAAATTTAAAATAGACAAGTATGTGACAACTGTAGAGCAGAATTCCTTCCAATGCCACACACTGCTCTGTGTCAGAAAGCACCAGCACCAGCAAAGAGTGGAGGAGACACGGCTCAGCAGCAGCATGAGCGAAAGACAGGACGTTAGCCGACAGAAAGCTGGATGTTCCAAGAATATGGTGTGACTGCCGAACATCCACCATGAGGAAAAGGGAGAGGGGTTACTTATTCTCTGCTTTTTTCCTGGTCAAACCACACTCAGTTCTGCACATTACACTGAGAAGCTGGAGAGTGAATAGCTCTAAAGCTGGCCCTGTAAGGAGCAGCTGAAGTCACTGTGAAATACTGTTTTCATTGGGCAAAGACTAGAGGTTGTGGGGAGGAAGGTAGGATGAAGATAGCTTCCTCCACATAGTAACGGGCTGCCAACTGGAAAAGGGGTTCGGTCTGCCCTCTATAGTCCAAAGAGAAGAAAGATATGCTATCATTTGCAGAGAGGTTGAAACATACAACCGCTAAGGTTTCTATTAATTCTGAGAATTTCTGAATAATATTAATAATTTTCTAACATAGCTGAGACTAAATTGCGTTCGAACAAATCTATCTGCAGCTATTTTTCAAAAACGTTGAAAGGATCTCCTGGAGTAAAATTACTATACAGAATTTCGAAGAGATCAGGTTTGTAACCGAGAGCCATCAGGATGTTCATAAACCATTACTGATCCTCTGATTCCTTCGCCGCTGCTCTCAAAGTAACTCCACTGACATCTCCTTACAAAGAATTAACATTTCTAGGTTGCCTCACAGTGATACAAAGGTCACTGCCCATCATCTTAAAGTCATTTCAGTAAATTTTATAATCTACAAATAAGTGACAATATCATTTTTGACACTAATAACAATTTAGGATGATTTGAAACATTTTTTTTAAAGCAAAATAATTTCAGCTGGGCATGGTAGCCCATGCCTATAATCCTACCACTCAGGGAGGCCGAGGCGGGATGATGGCTTGAGGTGAGGAGTTCGAGACCAGCCTCAGGAAGAGCGAGACCCCCACCCCCCTACTAAAAATAGAAAGAAATTAGCCAGGCAACTAAAGTAGAAAAAATTAGCCGGGCATGGTGGCGCATGCCTGTAGTCCCAGCTACTCGGGAGGCTGAGGCAGGAGGATTGCTTGAGCCCAGGAGTCTGAGGTTGCTGTGAGCTAGGCTGACGCCACTCCACTCTAGCCCGGGCAACAGAGCGAGACTCTGTCTCAAAAATAAAATAAAAATAAAAAAAGCAAAATAATCCGAACTTGAATTACCACAGTCATGTTACTTGAAGTAAGAGCTAAGCTTCCTCTTACACATTTGCTTATGTGAACACATTGCAACGTGTAGACTGAGCACATTTCTCCTTGGAGAAATCAATGTTCTGTATACAGCTCCTCCCTTCTTTACCTCATGGGTCTCAAATCAGATCTTACCTTGCACTGAAAATCAGATCCTTCATATTTCATACACCCGGAAGCTAATGTGGTTTCTCCCTGGTCATCTTCTTCTATGATGGCAAAGCAATGTCCATTAGTTCTAAAAGAGAAAAAAACAACGTAACTTCACATCAGAGAGTACTAATAAAATTTGAGTTTTAATGTAAACAGGTACTGATGGCCTTTAGTACCTTGTTTTTTGAATTAGAAGTGCATTCACATGTAATTTGCTGGCAAAGCCAAATAGGTTTTAAGGCCAATGAAAGCTATGCCTGAACTAAGATTTAAAAGGTCAATGAGAACTTTATGTCAAGTGGAAAAGGATTTCTATTAAACAAGTGCTCCCAATGAGATATGTGACTTTTCTTTGTGAATCACAGTCATGTGATCATAGCTGATTCGTAAAATTCTGTAAGTAAATTATCTTAATGTTTTTAAAAATACTTAAAAATAACTTTGTCTCTTTTTCCCCATAATATTTTCAGTATTTACATACTGAACATGATAATAGATAAAAACAAACTTTTCTGTGAAACGTGAAAATAGACTCAAAGACAAAAACGTATATTTGGGAAGAAAAGTGCCAAAATTCTGAAAGGCACTTTTTATCAAATGTGATAGGAAAACAGGGAGAACTTCTGAATGTTGAATTTTTAATATTTACATAAACATATTTGTATTTAAGGAAATTTTATCATTTTAGTGTTAGTATCCTGTGAAAACTTAGGATACGTTCCTTTCGACTTTAATAGGTATGGAAGAAACTTCTAAAAGCTTTTTCTGTGCTCCTATTTATTAACAGTGAGTGTATTGCTTCTACTTAAAAGAATTCTGCAGAATTCTTCATCATCTATCTTTTTTTCTTTTGTAGAGACAGGGTCTCACTATGTTGCCCGGGCTAGTCTAAGATATGATGAACTATCACACAATCTCAAGATTTTATTTGTCAAGTTTTATGCTTTATATCTGTCCCATTCAAAGAACATACAATTATTACAAAAGTATAAAACATGACATTCATTATTACTTTATTAACAGGGAGACAATTAATTTACCGATGAGACTGAGTTGTTCGGGAAATTTTGTTTTTTTGTCTAGTAAGTCAATTCCTCAATGTCCTCAAAGAATATGGAAAAGAATTATATGATCATATGTAAACATTCTGAGTAATTAATGTAAAATTTAGTAGGAAAATTAAGATAGTTATATAAATCAGATTTGGACTGGAGAGTTCACAGGTAAGAAAATAATACAAAATTATCACAACATCATTCTCATATATCCATAAAATATTTCAACCAATTAAGAAGTAGGAAGCCTGTAATCCTAGCGCTCTGTGAGGCCAAGGTGGGAAGATCACTTGAGGTCAGGAGTTCCATACCAGCCTGAGCGAGAGTGAGACCCTATCTCTACTAAAAACAGAAAAAAATCAGCTGGGTGTGATGGTGTGTGCCTGTAGTCCCAGCTACTTGGGAGGCTGAGGCAGGAGGATGGCTTGAGCCCAGGAGTTTGAGGTTGCTGTGAGCTAGGCTGACACCATGGCACTCTAGCCCAGGCAGCAGCTTGAGACTGTGTCTCAAAAAAAAAAAAAAAAAAAAAAAAAGTAGGAAGTTGTGGGTAAATTTTTTGCTTTCTTCTTAGTAATCTTTAAGTTTTCTGCAACAACCATAAATAATTTTATGATAAAAAGATCAGTAAATAAACTCAAAATGTTATATAAAACTAGATTTTTTATCTTCTTTAAAAAGCTATATAACTCTAATAAAGTAACTACCAATCATTTAATTGTAAGATTATTCCTATATACAAAATAAGAAGCTTTTTGGCTCTTTGGGAACATGCCATAAGGAAAAAAACAAACTCAGATAATCTTAACAATTCTTAAAATAGCACTAAATGCAATTTTATTCTTCTAACTCTTAAGAAGGACTGCATAAAATACTTACATGCATGTGTTATTAATAGCATCATCTGGGCAGTGTCCTGAACAATAGCACTTTAAAAAAGGCAAGGTATCCTCTGGTGCTAAGGTGACTCCATTTTCTGACTTTTTCTGGTCGGAGTCTGATTTCATCCCGGTGCCATGGAGCATGCTGTCTAGATTCTGCCCTGTATTCAAATACAGAATTGTAAATAAATCATTTCTGAAAAGCTAATTGTCTGATTATAATTTTCAATGAGAAAGTTGCTAAGCTTTCTTATCACAGTAATTTGCAGCAAAGGTGTTTCTCTAGAAAATAAATTTCATCCATACAATTAACACGTTTACTAATAAACTATTATGCACAGAACTACCATTCAGGTAACTGCAGGGTATACAAAGACAGCTATGTCACAATTTTGGTCCTAGTGAATGACAAACAAGAATGGCACAAGGTAGAATATGGTCATAACTTGTAAGAAAGGTATAAAATGGGGTGTCTCTTCAGGGAAGGCCGAGACTGTTTCCAATCATTAAAATATAGACAATTATGATATTTCTTTTAAACCTGGTTCAAAACTTACAACTAGCTAAAAAAAAAAAAAAAAAAAATCCTTTATTTGTGCCTCTGTGGAAAAGGGGTTACTAAACATCTTGCTTTGGCCTTTTATGCTTAAGCAAGGGAACTGTGAGAGCAAGGGGACTGTGTGTTATCTGGAGGCTTGTACCTCAAGGTCATTAGTGTGAATCCAGAGCGTGCTGCCAGAAAGGGAAGGCTGCTGCCTGGCAGTAGGGAGCTTATGGAAATAGAACTGGGTTCTTGCACTGGAGTCCAGCAGTCTCCAACGACAGACACTTTGCATTCAGTTATATCTGATACTGAATCTTTCAGTTTGGAAGCAGAGCTAAAACAACTATTTTAGTAATTCCTCCCTCTCATTCAGCTAGATCAGCTAGACCCTTACTTGCGGTTACTCTCAAGGGAATGAAAGGTGGAGCCAACCAAATAAGTCTGTATGTATTTCATTATAAATATTAAATAAGTGGTTCAAGACACAATGTGGACTTCACTTCGAATTTAGCTATACAGATGAGAAGAACTATTAAAAAGAGGAAAAAAACACATACGCATACACCAATGACAGAAAATGTTGCTAAATAAAGTGTTTTAGTGATCCATACATTCAATTTTAATAATCTTCATTATTTATTTATTTATTTATTTTTTAAGAGATAGGGTCTTGCTACATTGCCCAGGCTGGCCTCAAACTCCTGGGCTCAAGTAATCCTCCTGCCTCAGCCTAAATTTTGCTTTTTTATGCTGAATATTTAGTATAAGGATTCATTACTGAATGAGTATTTATTAACAGAAATAAACACCAGGAGAGAATACTTAAAAAAAAAAAAAAAGAGCTAGAGGTTCGTGTGTATACATGTATCACCCATCTCCCTCACCACCACTCCCCTTTCAGAAATAAACACTGCAGACCTCTCCATGATCTGCTCACAGCACTGACCCTGCACTGTGCTCAGCTCAGGGCCTTCTGTCAATTCCTAGAACATGTCAATCTTCTCCCACCCACAAGTCCTGTGTATTTACAAATCATAAAATGACGCCCTGGGGTGGGCTGGGGGTACAGGTTCTATTTCAAAACACACACATACAAAATATTTAATAGCTTACACGTCCAAGTAATACACGTACTCAGTAAAACATGGAAATACATACATACAGAGACAAATAGCTGAAAGATAAACATGACCATATACAGGCCAATTTACAGAATGCTCCACCATCAACGGCAATTTTTGACATCAATGATTTTACTAGATTTTTATTCCTGGCTAAATAATTTTTCTTACTTTCCCAGTAATTTATTGGCTTCCTTTATATAAAGCAGACGACTGCCTCTGTCTCAATCTTAAGATAGAATGTCTACAACAGGATTCAGATGGCAAAAGACTGGAAAGCTGGAGAGACTAATGGGATATGTATGCACTGCACATATAAGATAATCAGCAACAGTAGTATTCTTAATGAATTTCATAACAATAGTCTGCATAATTAAATAGGGACCAGGAAGACATCAGTAAGAGGAAAGTCAAGTACAAGAATTGGCTAAGGGGCCGGGCGCGGTGGCTCACGCCTGTAATCCTAACTCTCTGGGAGGCAGAGGCGGGCGGATTGTTTGAGCTCAGGAGTTCGAGACCAGCCTGAGCAAGAGCGAGACCCCGCCTCTACTAAAAATTAGAAAGAAATTAATCGGCCAACTAAAAATACATAGAAAAAATTAGCTGGGCATGGTGGCGCGTGCCTGTAGTCCCAGCTACTCGGAAGGCTGAGGCAGAAGGATCACTTGAGCCTAGGAGTTTGAGGTTGCTGTGAGCTAGGCTGACGCCACGGCACTCACTCTAGCCCGGGCAAAAGAGTGAGACCCTGCCTCAAAAAAAACAAAAACAAATGCTTAAAAAAAAGTTTACATTGTTGAATTCTTGTTTTATTGCATTTTGATCAGAGAATGTGGCCTATGAGATAGCTTATTCTTAATGGAAGTATTATTTCAAAATTACCCAAGATGATTCAAGGGTGCTGTGGGTGCGGGAGAAGTGCATGGGGGTACAGATGAAACAGGTTTGGTTAGGAGTTGGTAATGTCAGAGCTGAGTAACAAGTTCACGGAGTTTCATTATATTATTCTACTTACATGTATGTGTGAAAAAAGTATTTTTCCCATAAGCAGTTTTTTAAATACCCAGATAAAACAAAAATGTACACTCCCAGTAAAAAAAAAAAAATTAAACCACACTAGCAAAGCAAAAAGTCCCTTTTGGTTCCATCTAATCCCTCCCCCTCTTCTTAATTGTAACACTGTTATCTGTTTGGCATGTATGCTTCTAGTCCTTTTCCTATGTATTTGCATATATACATATGAAGTATTCTTTCAGAAAATTTTACAAAAGCAGAGAAAATTGTAATCCACACATACCCATATAACCCAGATTTTATAATGACCAATTATGGCCCATCTTGTTTTACTCTTCCCCTTTCATATAATTATGAACCTAATACCAGATATGTCATTTTATCTGTAAATATTTCAACATGTATCTCTAAAAGGTAAGGACTTCAAAAAAAAAAAATAATAACCACAATCATCACACCTAAAAAAGTTAACAGTTGTTCTTTATTCTTACCAGTATTATCAAACATCCAGGCAATGTTCAAATTTCCAATTATATTATAATGTTATAAATTGTTTTAACAGTTTCCTTCAATCAGGATCCAAATAAGGTTCACACATCACAAATGGCTATCTCTGGGTCTCTTTAATCTATAGGTTTCTTCTTCCTTTTTCTTTTTTGTTTGAGACAGAGTCTCATTGTTGCCTGGGCTAGAGTGAGTGCCGTGGCATCATCCTAGCTCACAGCAACCTCACACTCCTGGGCTCAAGCGATCCTTCTGCCTCAGCCTCCCGAGTAGCTGGGACTACAGGCATGCGCCACCATGCCCGGCTCATTTTTTCTATATATTTTTTAGTTGTCTGGCTAATTTCTTTCTATTTTTAGTAGAGACGGGGTCTCGCTCTTGCTCAGGCTGGTTTCGAACTCCTGAGTTCAAACAATCCGCCCGCCTCGGCCTCCCAGAGTGCTAGGATTACAGGCGTGAGCCACCGCGCCCGGCCTCTTCTTCCTTTTTCTTTCCTTGAAATTTACTTGTTGAAGATACTGGGTAATTTGTCTTATGATATTTACCACAGTCTGGATTTTCTGATTGCCTCCTTCTAGCATCACTTAACACGTTCTCTTGTTACCCATAGTTTGTAAATGGTACTCTGCTCTAAAGCTGTCCAATATGGCAGCCACAAGCCACATGGGGCTATAGTACTTGAAATGTGGCAACTCTGTAAGTTGTAGTGAGGAGAGACACAAATGTCTAGTTATCTCCGTTTTTAAGGACTAGACTCACTAATTCAACAGGAGTAGTATAAAATAATGTATGCTAATTCTACCATTTCTTCTTATTTATGATCTGGAATACCTCTATAATGAGATGTTTTCCTTCATCTACTAACTGGATACAAATGGCACAGTTCACATAAGAAAGGGGAAATTAATGCTTGATTTTTCCCACTACTTATCAGTTTTCAAAATTAATGAGTTTGCTAGCATCTTTCAACAGCAGCCAATTAGTTCTTTTTTAAGTGTCATTAAAAACCCATGGATTTAAACATATTTGATTTTTTCAATCTACTGCAGTTATTATCCTTACTAATGCTCAAATTGTTCCATCTCTGGCCAATTCAAATCATTCCCTGTATCCTTTTAACTTTCCCCTGCTTTCTGGCCAAGATATTCCAAGATTACCTTGCACTCTACCTGCCACACACTTAAAAGTGATTGCAAGGAGTTCCAGAACCTTTTAGTGAAAAAGATAATCAGAGACCATAATCTGGGTGTTACAGGTGCTTGTTGCTACCGTGTTGATCAGTGTAAAAATATATGGCTAAAAAAATAGTTTTGCATCTCGCTTTTTTCACTTTATCCGTATTCATCTGTTAAATAAAAATGTATCGCATAACTACACAGTGCTAGGCACTGTTTTAAGCCTTGGATGGCTAGAATAGTAAACAGTATAACGTCCCTTATCTACTAGAGCTTATAGTCTCAGAAAGAAATAATAAAGACCACTAAATACTGACATTTGTACTATTTTAATATTTATTCATAGATAAGTGCTATGAAACCAAATAAAGCAGGGTCATTTTCTAGCATGGGAAAGGAGCAGAGTGCCTTACAGCAGAGGTCACTGACCGGAGGGCCAGGAGAACAGACCAAGCAAAGGTCAGGAAATCCCAGAATACCACATCTAGACAAGATATAACTTTAATGGACCTAAAGCAAAGACCAGAAGCAAGCAGATGTTAACACCACTAAAATTTTAAAGGAACTGTACTGCCAAAGATGTCACAATAGTCAGGCTAACCCAATGAGAGCCTGTAAGTTTTCAATCCATTAGATAATTTCTAGTACCCAGACCTCCATACTAACGGAAAGGCCATCCTCCGCTAAGTCCATCTCAGAAGTGGCCAAGATGGCAGAAACACTAGCCAAGGAACACCAGAGACAAAGGAAATGCTCCCAGAAAATAAAACTAGGGGCTGGCAGACAGACTAACCATCCTTAATTGATAGGCTATGAAGCAATGACTACTGAGGCTGCTCCCAAATTTTCCTTCCTCTGAATGACAGTTTATATAGTACTTATCCTACTTCATCTTCATCACTGAATCTGGGTACATTGTGCATTTACAATTTCTCTTTTAGCCATACATTGCTGGACAATGAAGAGCCACATCTGGACCTGAAGGAGAAGGCAGCACACTAGCCAGAAGTACTGGATTAGTAGCTGAGTACATCAAATGGATAAAACTCTGGGTTATATAAATAACCCTTTGAAGAGGAATTCAATATTTCATACCAACATGAGCGTTTTTAGTGTATGCATGTGAGTAAAAGTATGTATGACACTAGGGAGACAAATGTGGTGCCCTACAGCAGATACTGTTATTTTTCTCCCCTTTACCTTGCTGGCGACAAACATGCACACATGTATACACACATACACGCACACCCTTTGTTTGTATACATGTCTGTCCCTCCTCTGTGTGATTCAGGAAAGCACAGCCCTATCCTCAGCAGAGGTAACTGTTGGTCTAATCCAACGAGTTTAGGTCCACTCTCCTTGCCTCTGATTTGTTTAACACAAGAGCATGTAATAAACTTTAGCCACTATGATTAGAAGGAAGTCTGTTGGAAAAATGAGGAGAGTGCCTGGGGAAAGATTCACCAATTAAAAAGAGACAGAAAGGCCGGACACGGCGGCTCACGTCTGTAATCCTAGCTCTCTGGGAGGCCGAGGCGGGTGGATTGTTTGAGCTCAGGAGTTCGAAACCAGCCTGAGCAAGAGCAAGACCCCG